TCAAGAAATGACCGGTCAACCTTTGAGAAAAAGGTGACCGGTCATATCATCTTACTTGACAAACATTGGTCCAGTATCTCAGGCATGGTGAACCACGTCAAAGATCGAGGGACCACCCCGCCGTTCGTCCATCACGAGACAAACAGTGAAAGGGATGTTTGTCACTTTGCAGGGCTGATTGGATTGAGAATATCCATCTATAGTCTTTGATTGAACAGTACATGTCTTGGCTTATAGTCGCTAAATTCTATTATTGTACAGTGCTTCCATTATCTACAGTGACCTTCCCACGAGCTTCTTATTTTGTCCATGAATGAACAGGGGAGAGTCACAAATCCTCCTCTATAAATATGATGATATTTGATAGAGGGGGGATCCCAATTTTTCTCTCACTAAAGTTCACTCTTGAGATAGAGTAAGAAATATAATTCAGACTGAGGAGATTTACCCGGTCTAGGTCATACTTTGTGTTCTTGTTGTGTGTTTTATATTACGGGTCGAGTGTGTCCAGGTCAAACCCGGTTAACCCACCCCGCTATATTTACACCATCAAAGACAAACATGCAATTTAAAATGGGACGTAGGGAGTACTACTTCTTCAATCAAACACCCTTAAGAAAAAAAGAAAATGATATGAAAATTTTTTTCGGTGTTTGTTTAGAGAGAAAAATAGAGAAGTATAGACAAAAAAATGAGAACAAAATATTTGAGTATATTAAAAATGTAATACCAAATTCTTTCATTTTGATAAAAAATGAGAAAAAATTCACTTTTTTCTCCCAAATTACTTGAACTAAAAATAATGTTAGTTTGATAATTAAACATTAAAAATGGAAAAGAACCGCACCCTCTAGTTAGTTAATTACCGAAAGACCCATTAAAGACCCAAGTATATAGCTCTTCGCGTTTTAGGGTTTTCCACAGATTTGGCCCAGCTGCTACATTCATCGGAGGCTCCACGTTTCTCCACAGCGACCGCCGCCGGAAAGCAGCCATGGTCAGCTTCCCCGTATTCTTCACTCCGTTATATGTTCTTATGCATCTGCTCAGATAAGAATGGCCTAACCTGTGTGTTATCTTTCAGATCATTTCGGAGAAGAACCGCAAGGAGATCTGCAAGTTCCTCTTCCAAGGTCAGTCTGTAATGCCCATCGATTTATGATATGTATGAGTATACCAGATTTGATTTCCATATGATTGTTAAAATTTGTTGTTTTGACGGTGAAGAGGGAGTGTGCTATGCGAAAAAGGATTACAATTTGCCGAAGCACCCATTGATCGATGTCCCGAACCTCCAGGTGATTAAGCTCATGCAGAGCTTCAAGTCGAAGGAGTACGTGAGGGAGACATTTGCTTGGATGCACTATTACTGGTATCTGACCAACGATGGAATTGAATTTCTGAGGACTTACCTCAATCTACCCTCTGAGATTGTTCCGGCCACCCTTAAGAAATCGGCCAAGCCCATGGGAAGGCCCATGGGCCCCGGAGATCGCCCTCGGTAAATATTGTTCTTATTTAAGGAATTTTAAGCAAGTGTTTATGAGGTTTAGTTGTTTACTTCACTGTGGTGTGGTGCATGATTATTGAATTTAGCTGAAATTTTATTTATTGTATGTGCAGTGGACCTCCCGGGGACGGTGAGAGGAGATTTGGGGGTGACAGGGATGGGTATCGGGGTGCCCCTAGAGGAGGCCGTCCTGGCGAGTTTGGTGGAGAGAAGGGTGAAGGAGCTCCTGCTAATTTCCAGCCGTCTTTCAGGGTAAGTTTTCATCCCTCAGCTAGCTGCTGATTTTTGTTATCCGTTTTACTTGATGTTTTCGTTTAGGTTATTAATAAGGTTAATGCTCTTTCTTTCACTTAATCTATTTTTCAAAATGGTTCAATAAAGGTACATTAAAGTTGATGTTCTTACAATTGTGATATTTCTATTATGTGCTTTAAGGTCACATGTTTGATAAAATCAGGAAGGGTAAATTTTCATGAGAAATTGATTAGTTACACTTGGTAATATTTATACAAAAGATCTTCAATGTAAAATTTAACATTATATGTTTCCTACCATATGCCCTTATGAAACATAATAAAAAAGCTGTTATGATCATTGTTACTGCCATATAAATATATGATATATTTACACGCTTTTCAACCAATAGTCATCCTTATTTCCAGAAACGTGGTGATCAATGTTGATTGCTTTTTTTGTTTGATTGATCTCTTTTAAAGCTATGTATCCTTTGTAACAAGAAGATAAGTTTTAGAAGCTGAATGATAAGTTAGTTCTCAATCAAGGACTTATGAAACATGAAAACTACTAGTATTACTATTTCTTAGTTTGTCGTGTCTATGCTTGAAACTGTTTATATAAGACTGAGTTGATTTCTATTTTTGTTCATTTTTTAATAATAAATTTTTATTTGTGTGTTTTAGTCTTTTTAATGGAAGCGTGTTTAAGTTGGCAGGCCTAGTGTGACAGTTCTACTCCTTGGCTTACTTTCTTGAGCTTTCCATTTAAGCCCTGTTTAGATTTATTTGGTAGTCGAAATTGGCCTGCTTTGAAATGTATGAAACTTGGATTTAGAATACAATTCAACAGGAGTTGAATTCCAACCACCAAATTTCGGCACCAAACCCAGTTCACCTGAGTTTCTTTATTTCTAGCAACCAAAATAGACCTAGCTACCATAGCTTCAATGCTTCAAATTTTTAAAATCAAAACAACATTTGCTTGAGCTATCAAGTTATACAGAAAGCCGTCTTGGGGCATGTTCTTTTCAACGTATTTTCAGCTTAGCTTAAACAGTTTTTTAGAATTACAACAAACTTTGTGCTTGATAACGTAGTTTCAGCCTAGCTTAACACTTAGAATTACAACGTAAATCTCCATTTGATATGAACATGTGCTTGATACTAAGAGAAGTATGGGTTTTTAACTTGCAGGGTGGTAGTGGAAGGCCTGGCTTTGGTCGTGGTGCGGGTGCACCTCCAAGTTCCAGCTTCTCCTAAATCTTCACTTCACTTCACTTTTTGTTTTGAATATCAGAGATGTGAAACTTTTGTTTTTTGGTAAGAGGAAATGTCAAGTATCGTTTGCTCAAGTTTATCTATTTGAACGGCGCGTATTTTCACAATTTTGTATGATTTGTCAAAATGACTGTCCCGTACTGGTTTTGTTGGTTGGTATCCTCATATTATTATGTTTGCTTCCAATGTCCAAATTGCTTGTATAATTCTAGAACAAGAAGAAAATACAGGTCTGGAACAACAAACATGCCCCAAACATGATCTAATTCAAATTTAAAAGATGAAGAATGAGATGAAGGTCTATAATCTGAGCATCAGATTCAGAAGTCAACAATCCCAGCTTGGCTCCAGTCCCTCCTAAGACCATATGTCATGGGGCTTTATCTCCGGCGTCACTGTGCCTGCCACACCCGTCATGGAGACAGTCTGCTTGACGGATGCGTGACCCATGGGGATGGATGGCGGTTGCTTGGCTCGATTGCTGTGCCGGACGTTGCAAGTGGTTGAAAGTCTGGCCATTTGGCTCTTTAATTTAAAAAAGCCTTTTTCCTTCTCTCCTAAGTTACTCAAGTTTCTTTTTCAACTCGTGCATCCATTATCTTTTGATCTTCATCTTCTTCTCTTTCAATTGCTTTTTTTTTATCATCGATCCCAACCATCTAAACTACCCATATCTTAATCTTTTTTTAATTGTTATCGGTAGATTCAAATTCCTACCCCACCCACCCAACCCACACTCGGTTATGGGAACAATTATTTTCTAGAAAACCAATAAGAATCATCTCTTCAATCCCAACTCGTCACTAATTTTGAGCCAAATCCCTCATCAACCCATGAAAAAACAAAAATAATTAGTTAAGCCCTCGTCATCTATATGGCTGTGGTCAAGTCCCTCAACAAGCCCATGAAAACACATTATCTAACTATGACTTTCCAACTCTTTTATCTTCATGTGGCTACAGGGCCTTTAAAAAGTGCCACTACAAGAGTGTTTGGGGTTGTGATTAAGAATTATTTTGAGCATTTGTTATATATACACACACACACACCATATATATATCCCAATTTTTTGCTCATAATATTTTTTTTTGAATTATACCACAATTTTTTAATGTATTAAACCAAAAAATAATTTCAATAAAACACATAAACTAAAATAGAAATTTATTTTGGGACAAAGCGAATGATATGAAATTTTTATCAATGATTTTCTATGTACTAACCAATTAAGAATAGAAAAAGTTATTTTAAAAAATAGAAAAATGTAATATTCTATGTGCATTATAAAAATTTCTAATGTGACATACAAAAAATGAAAATAAGTAATTTTTTTAGATTAAGAGTAAGGGTACACCAAAAGTTGGTGTGCCCATTTATACCACTAATCTCCCAATTACACATTTCTTATTTAAAAGATGCTAAGAGTACAAAATCGTTAAGAAAAATATAGCGAGAAAAGTGATGACGCACAAAAGGGGTACACTTTTAGATTATTCCTAACATTGCTCTTCTTATCAACTCTTTACTCTTCTTCTCTTCATCAAGGAATGTGTGGTGTGGAGAGTGATAGTGTACAAATGAGATATATTTTTGGTGTGTTTCTAACAGCTTTGATATTCTTATGAGAGGCGGGGATAAAATAAAAATTGAGGTTCTAGAGCCACTCAATTTGAGTAGTTTCGATACGAATCAATTGACAGGTGATGGGTGTATTTCACCCACGACCGGTCAAAGGTCAGGACCGGATAGTTGACCGGTCAAAGAAGTCAAACTTTGAAGAGAGATCTGAATGGACCACCGAGTGACCAAAAAGTGGACCGGTACACTTCGGAAAGTATACCGGTCAGCTTATTCCATCAGCAGGAACCGATTCCGAAGACAATTAATCCAAGCCTTCGGAAATCAACCGATACAACTTTTAGAGATCGAGGAGTGTCGGCAGGAGGAGTCCAAAAGGACTTGGACTTTAGTGGTTGGAATTGCAGAGATCCTGGAGGAATATTTCCAAGCCAGAACGTGACAAGGAGGGAAATCCCCTTCACAAAATGACAAGGCGGCTCAGGGACAGTTATCTCGCACCACGTCAGCAACGTGCCCCCACGTGGGCGCACATGGACCTGTCCCCCCAGCTTAGTATATATACCCCTTGTAAATCTCAGAAAGGGGATCCGAATTCATTCTCTCTAAACTCCCTTGTAAAAGCACCCGTGCATTCTCCGTTATAATATAAATTGGGTTACAGGTGTTCCACCTAAAATCCTACCGGTCAATCTACGAGTTTTTACCTCTCTTACTTTGCCAAATCAAGCAAACTATTCTAGACCCGGTCTATTATAGTTTGACCGGTCAAGTAATTTACACCATCATTTTTGGCGCCACCCGTAGGACCGTTAAGGTTTCTTCTCCTAAACACAAACCTACCCACCAAAACACCACTCAAAATGTCTTCCAGCCAACAAATCAACGCTACTTCCGCTCAGGTGCACGCCACTAATGAGGGCGCCAGCATCCTTGTGGCTGCTACCATACCGGTCATTTCAGCCCCGGTGTTGCCTTTGGGTCTGAGCTCTGTCCCGACGGCCAGCGTGATTAGTCCCTTCGTGACCCCCGTCCCTTCCGCTGGACCGAGGGTAACGTTCCCACCGAGCATGACGCAGTTCATGAATGACCCAGCCAACCTACAAGCCATCCAGGGCTTTGGCCAGGTCATGGCCATGTGCCAGCAGAACGGGGGGATGCCTTTCCTCCCTGGTATGTTCCCATTCGCCCTTCCAGGCGCGGGAACCATGCCCTTACAAGCTCCGATGGCAGTGACGTCGTTCCAGACGCCGATGCCGCAACCATCACCTTTCCAGCCCCAGCTGGTCAGCACCTTGGCCCTGGTCAATTTGGCCGGTGCACTAAACGCTGCAGGGTCGTCGCGTCCCCCACAAGCTACGGATCCGCAGGTCACTCCTGATGGTCATTGCGTCTCGATTGAGAGCGATGACGGCGAGTGGGACATCCCGAGGGCCCACAAGAAGAAGAAAGGAAAAAACATCCGGCCAGCGACCTTCCGAAACTCTGCCTTCGAAAGGCTGGGGGATAGGGTGGAAGGCTAGAGGAAGTCAGCCAAGCAGAGGCTGGGGCAGAGTGTTGCCCATGTCAGCGCATTCGCCCGGCTAGGCGAGGTGCGGGAGGCCGAGCCTTCCCGCACCCGGCGCTCCCGGTCTAACCGGCAGGAGCCAGCGAGGACGAGGGCCTCCCACCAGGAAGGGGAGGCAGAGAGCCAGCCCAGGTTACCGGTGGCGAACAGGTTAACCATCCCAAACGACCGCGTCCAGCAGATGGAGGCAAAGCTGGAAAGGCTGGAAAAGAAGGTCGGAGAGAAGAATGACCGGGACAAACCCCTGACAGGGTCCCCGTTCACCACAAGGGTCCATCTGACACCTTTCCCACGAAAGGTCAAGATCGACGCCCCCAGATTCACCGAGAAGGAAGATCCGGAAATCCATCTGGACTCCTTCAACCAGAGTGCGACCATGAACGGTTGCACCGATGAAGAAAAGTGCCTTCTTTTCTTCCAGACCTTGCGGAACCGAGCCACTGAATGGTTCAATAAGCTTCGCCCGGGAAGCATTGATTCATTCAGTGATTTGGCCTCAAAATTCAAGGCCAAGTTCCAGGAGAATTATACTAAGAGGAAGAAATTCACCTATCTTAGTACAGCCGGGCAAAGGGAGTCTGAGAACCTTACTCAGTTCCTTACCCGGTGGAAGGAAGAGGTGGACAAGGTGGAAGAGATGGATGCCAAGACCGTCCTATCCCTCCTCTTGAACGGCTTGCGTGCTGGGGAACTATACAAGGAGTTCTGCCGGAAACCCCCAGCCACGTACCAAGAGGCCTACCATACTGCATGGGAGTTTGCTGAAGCTGAAACCCAGCTCCGGGCAAAGAGAGAAGCTGAGCATGGTCACAAGCCCAAGCCGGTGCAAGTCAAGAAGGAAGAAGCACCGGGACCTAGCCGGCCGAGGCACCACTATGACCC